TATCTTCCTCCCGACGCTTTCTCCATGCAGTAGCACAGACAGGTTTTGCCCCCTGCTGGTGGATGAGGAATGAGGCACCTGAGGGCAGATTTTCTGGTGCCCCACACTTGGCTCTGGGCAGATAGAGGATCTCTCCAGTTTATTTTTCAGCCTTACCCATCACTGTACTCTCATCACAAACCTAATGCAAAACTAAGCCTTGTATACAAGTGGAAGCCCATAAAAAGGATCAGAAAGATAAGTTTTACAAATAGACCTTTTCCTTTTGAACAATGCAAGACTTTTTCCTACATAGCATGAAATTGTAGGCAATTATTCTCTGCAGCTGCCAAAGGCTGCTCCTACAGATCTTTAAGTCTCTTCCTTCTGTGAATCTCAGGTAAATCTTTTCCCTCCTCTCCTGGAACAACCCCGACTCCTCGAATCACGTCCACAACTTGTCATCTAAGTCCTCCTGAATGCAATCCGTTTACCTACGTTCTCAGCTCCAAACTTTGCTATTAGCTTGCTTCTGACATTTTCATCATCTTTTTGCAACTCTAAATCATCTTCTCTGCTCCATATGGGATGCCCATCCAAGCGCTGGCTGGTCTTCAAAAAGCACACGGTGGCTTCCACTTCCCCACTGTTTTTCAAAAAAGCTTGTGTGACAGTCAACAGGTCCATGCTGAGCTCTTCCATGCAGTACTTTATTGCTTTAACTGCATCTGCCACCTGGGTGGGAGCAGGGCCAGAGCTCGCAGGGCTTTCCTCCCACTGAGGCTGAGTTTCAGGGGTAGGGGAGTCCCGAGCAGCAGCAGCAGCTGCTGGAGGCGAGTCAGAGTCATTCAGATCCATTTTCTGGCTAGGGCCTGCTTTTTCAGGAGACATCATCTCCTTGTCTTCACCAGGAATTTCTTCTGGGAGGTCTGTCTCGCTTTCAGACTAGGAACAAGAGTGAGAATTGGGGTCATTGCAGTATAAATCAGTCACACACGCTATTCCTTGAAGAGGTTCTATTAAGTCTAGAGCAAAGCCATGAACCTTTCTAAGGGACGTTTAAGTGCTCAGTGCAATTGCCACACACAATAAAATTCCATAGTCTACAGGGGGGGACAAAACACTACGTGTACATTAAAAAGTGGGAAGGCATGAGGCAAGCATGTACATAAGCCAGACCTGATGGGAGAGACATTAGTTTCTTACTGTCATCGTGTTTTGCAGCTCTCTCCTTAAGGAGCATTTGCTGGTAAGAGTAACTGAACCCCCCCTGCTTGCTCAGACAGCCACCTGAGGCTGAGATGACCATTCACTGCTGAGCTATTTTTATTCACACTTCTGTTCCTCAAAGTATTTTTGGACAGGAATCAAACTGGGGCAGGGAGAGAGGCTCATTCACATTCCTGTGACCTGATGCACAGCGAGCTGTAATCCAAAGTAGCTGTGTGTAATATAGCCACTTGACATCTAGCATTGTATAGCTTAAAGTGCTGACAGTTTAGCATAGTAGCAAAAATGGCCACTTCATTAACTACTTGGAAATAAACTGTCTGGTTGTACCTGTAATTTAATCAACCATAAATTTGGAAAGTGCATTTCAATTTTTGCCCCTAAAGGCAGTAGTTTATTTTCCCCCTTAAATGTACACAGCTGACAGAAGCACATACCTCATCACTTTCAAATTCTCGGCTCGCTGCCTTGAAAAGACTGCCCCCTTTTTCCACACGCCTTCTAATTTTCTCTTGTATCGCAGCTGCTGCTTTCCCGAACAGCTCTGTTAAAGACAGATCACATTGGCACCTGCTGCATGACTGAAATGTAATCGAGAGGTTGTTGGCCGTGCTAGTCAAAGACAGGGTAGAAATACGCCTTTACAGACCAACTAAATCAGATCTACACACAGAGCACCAGCTCAGTTCACAAGAGCTTGTGTGCTTGCTCTCTATGTATACACATCTTATTTAGCTAGTCTATGAAGGTACATCTCTGTTCTGCCTTCTGAAAGGTCACCTTCATCCTAGGCTTAGTTTCAGTTGCATGTAGCAGGTAGGAGGATGTGGGATGCTGGGAGTCTGATAACCTGCCACTTGGTAGGGCTGGGAAAAGAGGGACTCCGTTTCCTTCCCTCTGACTCCGGTCCTCGTGCCTCTAAAGATGGTGAATCGAGGGACACAAAGGGCCATTTCTGAAAGCTGGGTCATTTGGAAGAAACTGTTGACTAGAAAGGAAACCAGGGGGCCTGAAGGGCAGGAAGCAAAGGGGACAAACATGCACATTTAATCTGTTCCACTGTGGAGCCAGGCTCAGGCCACAGCTGACCATGAGTTTCCCCGTGCTGTCTCAGCCTGCCCTGTCACTAAGTGGCAGCCCTGTGCCCCGGAGCCAGGGGATGAGCCTACACCACCCCTCCCCCCCAGCCCTGCCCGTGGCTCGTTCTGGACATGCCTGCCCCTGCTCTCGCCGCCAGCGCCTTCCTGCCCGCTCCTCAGTGCCTGGCCCATGCCCTAGCACCCACAGCAGGGAACGGGCATGTCTCAGCACCTGCGTGGACCTGGGCAGCTGTGCCCAGGTCCACGCAGGTGCTGAGACATGCCCGTTCCCTGCTGCG